TTTACAGGAAGCTACTTGGATTTAATAAATTCCTAGCGGTATATATGAATATGTATCTTACATGTTCATAGATGGTTATCTTGAGGTTATCTTGAGATGATTCCGGGGATTTTTAGTGTCCCCGCGGCCCGGTCCTCGACCAGGCCTCCACCCCCAGGAAGCAGCCCGTGACAGCTGACTAACACCCAGGTACCTATTTTACTGCTAGGTAACAGGGGCATAGGGTGAAAGAAACTCTGCCCAGTGTTTCTCGCCGGTGCCTGGGATCGAACCCAGGACCACAGGATCACAAGTCCAGCGTGCTGTCCGCTCGGCCGACCGGCTCCCTAATTGATTGTATTGAAAGTGAAAAATTATTTAAAATTACCAGAATTAAAATCCGTTACGTTGCTACACAATACGCTCGCAGGATTGAAGGAAAATATACAATGAATAGTCCCTCTTAGGTGCATTATTAATTATATATATGTATACAGAGAACAAAAATAAAACAGAAAATACCAATGTGTCTGTGACCTGGAGAGGAGGAGCCATGTCACCGGCTCATTATAACAGGTATGATGCATGTTCATAAAGGAATAGTTTCCTACCTGAGAACCTACGGAAACGCTCGGGTCTGCCGCGGCCATAACCTCCCGACCCATGGCGGCAGTGGCTCGGCAAGTTTAGAGAGGTCGGACGCGTGACTTATTTTGCGGTTTTGTTATTATCGCAGGTGCCAGACGTATGATATTTTTACTCGCGGATCGCTTTACAGCCGTGAAATGTAAATGATGCATTTTACACATGGAAGTCACGGTGTTAGTTTTATTGTGATTATTGTTTGATCATGTCGGGTATTTGGAAAACAAGGGGAAAATTCCCAGGCTAAAGAGGATACGAACACAAAACTTAATGCATTTGGTTTCCAAATATCATTTAATTATTACAACAGTTTGGCCTTTATTTATAGAACATATTTTCCTTTATACAGTTCTTTGCTTGAACGAATTATTTACGAGCGTCATTTGTGTTTGCTAAAGTTTAGAAAATTTTGCGGTATCCAACAGGCATAAAACATCGTTCATTCACAGTTAGCGAGGAAAGTCTAAAGCCATTACGTTAGCACTCTTCACACGCTAATGACTGGCATGGGGAAGGCGAGTGTACGGCGGTGGTTAGTGACTAGATAGTTACTCTTCAGTTATTCATTTCAGCAAAAATAAATCAACCTCTGGAAGCCACCACAATAACTTACTGACCAACCAGCGAGTTTGGTGCTGGGCTTAAGGCCAATGTCAACCTCTGGAGGGTTATTAAGGCCACCACAATAACTTACTGACCAACCAACAAGTTTGGTGCTGGGCTTAAGGCCAATGTTAACCTCTGGAGGGTTATTAAGGCCACCACAATAACTTACTGACCAACCAACAAGTTTGGTACTGGGCTTAAGGCCAATGTTAACCTCTGGAGGGTTATTAAGGCCACCACAATAACTTACTGACCAACCAACAAGTTTGGTGCTGGGCTTAAGGCCAATGTTAACCTCTGGAGGGTTATTAAGGCCACCACAAAAGCTTACTGACCAACCAACAAGTTTGGTACTGGGCTTAAGGCCAATGTCAACCTCTGGAGGGTTATTAAGGCCACCACAATAGATTAAAAACCAATCAGCATTAATACTTCAGTCTTAACATAATCCAGGACTTGAGTAAACTCAATTTATGCACCAAGTAGCGGGGAAAACCTCTCAGTTTTCGTTTGTAAACTACGATTAAATTAAGGAGCTGAAACAAGCAACATACTCACATAAAATTTGCAAACAATCATACAAAATTAAACAAAATATTGAATAAAAACACAAAATTTGTACAGAACAATTGGCTAAAGAATGATTAAAAAAATGTATAAGAAAACTAGAGCAACTAGTCAACAAGTGACAGTAAATATGACGTGACTGACAGAGCAGCACCTGCCTGTCTCCACACATTGTATACAACTACAGCATCCAGTCAAAGAAACTGTTATTTCCAATTAAAGAAAACATATTGCACTGTATAATAGCATAGTATGGTTTGATGATAATAATGAATAACAGGTCATATCTTAAGTCAGCATCACAAATTATATACACTGGCATATAATTTATAATTTGCCGACGTGGCTATAATATATTAATAATTTAGCTTCTCCATCACGTCCAGACTATCATTATAAACTATTATACACTATTATTATACACTATTATTATACACTATTCCTTCTACTACACCTCTAATAAATATAAAACACTGATATTGCGTATAGTTATCATAGGCACCAAATTACACTCTGCCAACTGAACATGACAGAACACACAGCATACTGCGTCAGCCATCATAGGAACATGTTGACCAGACCACACACTAGAAATTGAAGGGACGACGACGTTTCGGTCCGTCCTGGACCATTCTCAAGTCGATTGAGTCACAATCGACTTGAGAATGGTCCAGGACGGACCGAAACGTCGTCGTCCCTTCAATTTCTAGTGTGTGGTCTGGTCAACATACTTCAGCCACGTTATTGTGACTCATTGCTTCCATATCATAGGAACATACTACATTGCTAAGATTCAATGGAACTATTGGCCTATAAGTAAGGTGTTTCACCTTCGCCTCTTACTCCTCTATATATATAGCAGCAGGAAACTTTTTTAACTATTCGAACTCGGCATTTGACAATGTTAATAAGAGTAAACGAAACGCATCTCTTAGCGTCAGGCCAAATAAGATCGTAAAAATGAACTTTGGAGAGTTAAATTTTCAACTTCTTGACAGAGGTTTCCCTTAACACCACACGGGTTCCTCTTAACACTACAGAGGTTTATCTTAACACGACAACTGTTATGTCTTCCATTACATCACAAAGTCATCAAATTGACATCAAGAAACAATTTGAATTTGAAAGGTCCTTCCTAAGACCATAGAGGTCTCCAAGCAGTGAAGATTATCAACACCTCCAGCAGCCAGAGATATCAACACCCCCAGCAGCCAGAGATATCAACACCACAGCAACCAGAGATATCAACACCCCCAGCAGCCAGAGATATCAACACCCCCAGCAGCCAGAGATATCAACACCACAGCAGCCAGAGATATCAACTCCCCCAGCAGCCAGAGATATCAACACCCCCAGCAGCCAGAGATATCAATACCACAGCAGCCAGAGATATCAACACCCCCAGCAGCCAGAGATATCAACACCTCCAGCAGCCAGAGATATCAACACCCCCAGCAACCAGAGATATCAACACCCCCAGTAGCCAGAGATATCAACACCCCCAGCAGGCAGAGATATCAACACCCCCAGCAGCCAGAGATATCAACACCCCCAGCAGCCAGAGATATCAACACCCCCAGCAACCAGAGATATCAACACCCCCAGCAACCAGAGATATCAACACCCTCAGCAACCAGAGATATCAACACCCCCAGCAACCAGAGATATCAACATCCCCAGCAGCCAGAGATATCAACACCTCCAGCAGCCAGAGACATCAACACCCCCAGCAGCCAGACATATCAACACCCCCAGCAGCCAGAGATATCAACACCTCCAGCAGCCAGAGATATCAACACCCCCAGAAGGCAGAGATATCAACACCCCCAGCAGCCAGAGATATCAACACCCCCAGCAGCCAGAGATATCAACACCCCCAGCAGCCAGACATATCAATACCCCCAGCAGGCAGACATATCAACACCCCCAGCAACCAGAGATATCAACACCTCCAGCAGCCAGAGATATCAACACCCCCAGCAGCCAGAGATATCAACACCCCCAGCAGCCAGAGATATCAACACCCCCAGCAGGCAGAGATATCAACACCCCCAGCAGCCAGAGATATCAACACCCCCAGCAGGCAGAGATATCAACATCCCCAGCAGCCAGAGATATCAACACCCCCAGCAGCCAGAGATATCAATACCACAGCAGCCAGACATATCAACACCCCCAGCAACCAGAGATATCAACACCCCCAGCAACCAGAGATATCAACACCCCAAGCAGCCAGAGATATCAACACCCCCAGCAGCCAGAGATATCAACACCTCCAGCAGCCAGAGATATCAACACCCCCAGCAACCAGAGATATCAACACCCCCCGCAGCCAGAGATATCAACACCCCCAGCAGGCAGAGATATCAACACCCCCAGCAGCCAGAGATATCAACACCCCCAGCAGCCAGAGATATCAACACCTCCAGCAGCCAGAGATATCAACACCCCCAGCAACCAGAGATATCAACACCCCCAGCAACCAGAGATATCAACACCCCCAGCAACCAGAGATATCAACACCCCCAGCAACCAGAGATATCAACATCCCCAGCAGCCATAGATATCAACACCTCCAGCAGCCAGAGACATCAACACCCCCAGCAGCCAGACATATCAACACCCCCAGCAGCCAGAGATATCAACACCTCCAGCAGCCAGAGATATCAACACCCCCAGAAGGCAGAGATATCAACACCCCCAGCAGCCAGAGATATCAACACCCCCAGCAGCCAGAGATATCAACACCCCCAGCAGCCAGACATATCAACACCCCCAGCAGGCAGACATATCAACACCCCAGCACCCAGAGATATCAACACCTCCAGCAGCCAGAGATATCAACACCCCCAGCAGCCAGAGATATCAACACCCCCAGCAGCCAGAGATATCAACACCCCCAGCAGGCAGAGATATCAACACCCCCAGCAGCCAGAGATATCAACACCCCCAGCAGGCAGAGATATCAACATCCCCAGCAGCCAGAGATATCAACACCCCCAGCAGCCAGAGATATCAACACCCCCAGCAACCAGAGATATCAACACCCCCAGCAGGCAGACATATCAACACCCCCAGCAGCCAGAGATATCAACACCTCCAGCAGCCAGACATATCAACACCCCCAGCAGCCAGAGATATCAACACCCCCAGCAGCCAGAGATATCAATACCTCCAGCAGCCAGACATATCAACACCCCCAGCAGCCAGAGATATCAACACCCCCAGCAGCCAGAGATATCAACACCCCCAGCAGGAAGAGACATCAACGCCGCCAGCAGGAAGAGACATCAACACCGCCAGCAGGAAGAGACATCAACCCCGCCAACAAGAAGAGACATCAACGCCGCCAGCAGGAAGAGACATCAACGCCGCCAGCAAGAAGAGACATCAACGCCGCCAGCAGGAAGAGACATCAACGCCGCCAGCAAGAAGAGACATCAACGCCGCCAGCAGGAAGAGACATCAACACCGCCAGCAGGAAGAGACATCAACGCCGCCAGCAAGAAGAGACATCAACGCCGCCAGCAAGAAGAGACATCAACGCCGCCAGCAAGAAGAGACATCAACGCCGCCAGCAGGAAGAGACATCAACGCCGCCAGCAAGAAGTGACATCAACGCCGCCAGCAAGAAGAGACATCAACGCCGCCAGCAAGAAGAGACATCAACGCCGCCAGCAAGAAGAGACATGAACGCCGCCAGCAAGAAGAGACATGAACGCCGCCAGCAAGAAGAGACATCAACGCCGCCAGCAATAAGAGACATCAACGCCGCCAGCAAGAAGAGACATCAACGCCGCCAGCAAGAAGAGACATCAACGCCGCCAGCAGTAGTGATCCTGACCCAGCTACGGGCATCAGGTCCGGCTTCACCACCCACACAAGGTCAACAATACTCTCCACAGAATACAATCAAGATGTCTCCTATACACATTAAGGAAAGTCCTTCTGATGGGCAGAAAATTGTTTATGTTTAAATCCGGGATCACTTGAGAGTTTTTATATTACATATCATTATATTTTGTGCGTGAAAATAATGCAATTTCATCAGAAAACTTCAGGGATCTGAAACTTCTGTCATCGGAGCCACACTGTCACGGGCTCGGGAAGGATAGGTTAGGTTCCGGGCGTGTAGGTTGGACTGGCAAATAGGTCACTGGGTGGCCACATTAGGTGTGTAGGTTGGGCAGTGGGAGGATGCCCCGCAGAGGCCAGTAGGTTGCAAGGTGGATTCATTAGCAAGCCAGTTTGTGTCAAGACAGGATCGTCTAAAGGGCAAATTCCGTTTATACTTTCTATATAACTGGTTTGCTAGGAGATCCCATGAAGTTGATTGCTAGGAGATGCTGTGAAGTTGTTGAACATTCGATTATGAAAGACATACAGCAACTTGAGGTCAGTGAATGCCTGTGATATAGGCTGGTGAGGTCACTGAATGACGTTGACATCGACTGGTGACATCACGGGGTCATTGACCGTTGCTGTGCTGTGCTGGCGTGGACTGGTCAAGCCGGTGTGAGGTCTCGGTCAAGGCACTGACTCACATTTCAACCTGTTTATATCGTGTTCCGTCGCATCCGTCTTTGTCTGTATGTGAGGTCTTGATTCCTGCACAAGGAGGTGCTGCTGTTGTTAGTCTTCGACTGGCTATATGCCGTTTTCTGTAAATATTTTGGCCTCCCTGTGATTGATTGATTGATGTAGATTAAGCCACCCAAGAGGTGGCATGGGCATGAATAGCCCGTAAAGGAGCTGTGATCAATTAAAGGTTGTGATGGTTGTCAATTGGGACAGGTTCGAGTGTTATGCGGGGTGTGATCTTCTCCTAAAGTTGTGATGTTGACTATTGTTTATACGTGTTGTTATGTTCGTTTTACTAAACATCAACGTGTTGTTATGTTCGTTTTACTAAACATCAACGTGTTGTTATGTTCGTTTTACTAAACATCAACGTGTTGTTATGTTCGTTTTACTAAACATCAACGTGGTGTTATGTTCGTTTTGCTAAACATCAACGTGGTGTTATGTTCGTTTTGCTAAACATCAACGTGCTGTTATGTTTGTTTTACTAAACATCAACGTGTTGTTATGTTTGTTTTACTAAACATCAACGTGGTGTTATGTTCGTTTTACTAAACATCAACGTGTTGTTATGTTCGTTTTACTAAACATCAACGTGCTGTTATGTTCGTTTTGCTAAACATCAACGTGCTGTTATGTTTGTTTTACTAAACATCAACGTGTTGTTATGTTTGTTTTACTAAACATCAACGTGTTGTTATGTTCGTTTTACTAAACATCAACGTGTTGTTATGTTCGTTTTACTAAACATCAATGTGTTGTTATGTTCGTTTTACTAAACATCAACGTGGTGTTATGTTCGTTTTGCTAAACATCAACGTGGTGTTATGTTCGTTTTGCTAAACATCAACGTGCTGTTATGTTTGTTTTACTAAACATCAACGTGTTGTTATGTTTGTTTTACTAAACATCAACGTGTTGTTATGTTCGTTTTACTAAACATCAATGTGTTGTTATGTTCGTTTTACTAAACATCAACGTGTTGTTATGTTTGTTTTACTAAACATCAACGTGGTGTTATGTTCGTTTTACTAAACATCAACGTGTTGTTATGTTCGTTTTACTAAACATCAACGTGCTGTTATGTTCGTTTTGCTAAACATCAACAGTGAACTTATATGTGGGTTTTACAAAACACTTTCAACATGCTGTTATTTTTCTTTTACTAAACATTTTTTAACCTGTTTTTGTTCATTTTACTAAAGTCTCTAACGTGCTGTTAGGTTAGTTTAACTATATATCTTTAATCTGCTGTTATCTTCATTTTACTAAACATTAACATTCTGTTATATTCGTTTTACTAAAAACTTTTAACATGCTGTTATGATCATTATACTAAACATCAACGTGTTGTTATGATCATTATACTAAACACCATCGTGTTGTTATGTTCGTTTTACTAAATATCTTTAATCCACTGTTATAATAGTTTTATTGAGCTATTTCAACTTACTGTTATGTTTATTTTACTAAACATCCTAAGTGTGCTGTTATGTTCGTTTTCTAACATACTGTTATAGTCATTTCACTAAATATGTTTACCGTGTTGCTGTGATCATTTTACTAAACATTTATAAAAATCCTATACAATCTAATTTCATCTTGAAATACTCGTTAATTCAAAATTTTGTTTCCCACGAAAAACACTCAACACTGTGTATTGTGTTGAAATAAACGCACATATTTCTTTGCTATACAGAACAGTTCACAGACATTGTTTATGTTGGCTAAAATACTGCCTTGTATGATGAGGCACTTGTATTACCTGAATTTACCTCAGGGCCACTAATACTAGTGGCCTCGATGAGGACAGGAAGCCGGCGGCTTGCCAAATGTCCCCCCTATTTGCTCTTATGATCTTTTCCAGCAGTATTTTGAAACCCAACATAGTTTTGGCGTTTTCTGCTTCGGTGGGTAGGCGGTTCCATGGGTTTACAACCCTATGGGTGAAAAAGCATCTCCAGTTTTCAGTCCTACAGTGTGGCTTGTTGAGCTTGAACCCGTTGCTCCTTGTTCCTTGTTTGTGTTATATCTCACCTTCTGAAGAAATTGTCCGGATCGATATCCTCCAAATGGTTCAGTATGTTAAAGGTTTCGATGAGATCCGCCCTGTCATGCCTGGTCAGCAGTGTTGTTAGCCCTGTGGCCCTCAACCGTTCCTGATACGGGATATGACTAAGCTCTGGGATGATTTTTGTTGCCCTGTGTTGCACCTTCTCCAGAGCAGCTATGTCTTTCTGAAGATAAGGTCTCCATGCCTGCATGCAATAATCCAGGTGGGGCGCACCAGAGACTTATACAACTGAACGACCACTTTCTTTTCCTTGAAGGTAACGGCACGCTGGATTATTCCCAGGGTTTGGTTAACTTTTTTTACTGTCGCTTCCACTTGTTGTACAACTTTTAGTGAATTATGTGTTCTGACCTCATGGTCCTTTTCTTCATCTTCACTGTAGTACTGCAGTACTTTGTCTAGCTGGCCTAGCAACAGGCTGGACACTTAGCTTTCAGGCTGGACACTTGATTCCAGGGCTGGACACTTGATTCTCGGGGCTGGACACTTAACGCCCGGACTGGCCACTTGTTTCCTCGGCGGAGATCGCCTAAGGAAGTAGAGATGAAGCACTAAGATGATTCACAACCAAGGCCACGCTCCTTTTGGTCTTACGTGTTACATAATAACAAGAGTTCAAGGAGAAAGTCTGTGTAGAAACGTTATCCCCCGAGCGATAACTTGTGCATCAGATAATATTTTAATCATAAGTCAATAGTTATTTGTGTGTCTAATTTTCTTTCGTTTATTTTTTTCCACAGGTTCGTTGGCGCCCATCATTGTTCGTTGGCGCCCATCATTGTTCGTTGGCGCCCATCATTGTTCGTTGGCGCCCATCATTGTTCGTTGGCGCCCATCATTGTTCGTTGGCGCCCATCATTGTTCGTTGGCGCCCATCATTGTTCGTTGGCGCCCATCATTGTCTCCCACAAGGAGGAATTCACACAGGTGAGACCATGAGAGGAATTCTCCCAAGCTAATCACAGAGCCCTGGTTAAGTAATCTTTGGCAATAGCCATACTGGGTTGGTTAGTGTTTTGCTTGGTTAGTGCGGCTGGTTGGTTAGTGTTGCTTGGTTAGTGTGCTGGTTGGTTAGTGTGCTGGTTGGTTAGTGTGCTGGTTGGTTAGTGTTGCTTGGTTAGTGTGCTGGTTGGTTAGTGTGCTGGTTGGTTAGTGTGCTGGCTGGTTAGTGTGTTGCTTAGTTAATGTGCTGGTTGGTTAGTGTTTTGCTTGGTTAGTGTGCTGGTTGGTTAGTGTTTTGCTTGGTTAGTGCGGCTGGTTGGTTAGTGTTGCTTGGTTAGTGCGGCTGGTTGGTTAGTGTGCTGGTTGGTTAGTGTGCTGGTTGGTTAGTGTGCTGGTTGGTTAGTGTGCTGGTTGGTTAGTGTGCTGGCTGGTTAGTGTGTTGCTTGGTTAGTGTGCTGGTTGGTTAGTGTGCTGCTTGGTTAGTGTGCTGGTTGGTTAGTGTGCTGGTTGGTTAGTGTTGCTTGGTTAGTGTGCTGGTTGGTTAGTGTGCTGGTTGGTTAGTGTGCTGGTTGGTTAGTGTGCTGGTTGGTTAGTGTGCTGCTTGGTTAGTGTGCTGGTTGGTTAGTGTGCTGGTTAGTGTGTTGCTTGGTTAGTGTGCTGGTTGGTTAGTGTGCTGGTTGGTTAGTGTGCTGGTTGGTTAGTGTGCTGGTTAGTTAGTGTGCTGGTTGGTTAGTGTTTTGCTTGGTTAGTGTTCTGCTTGGTTAGTGTTTTGCTTGGTTAGTGTTTTGCTTGGTTAGTGTTTTGCTTGGTTAGTGAGCTGGTTGGTTAGTGTGCTGGTTGGTTAGTGTTTTGCTTGGTTAGTGAGCTGGTTGGTTAGTGAGCTGGTTGGTTAGTGTGCTGGTTGGTTAGTGTTTTGCTTGGTTAGTGAGCTGGTTGGTTAGTGTGCTGGTTGGTTAGTGTTTTGCTTGGTTAGTGTGCTGGTTGGTTAGTGAGCTGGTTGGTTAGTGTGCTGGTTGGTTAGTGTTTTGCTTGGTTAGTGAGCTGGTTGGTTAGTGTGCTGGTTGGTTAGTGTTTTGCTTGGTTAGTGTTCTGCTTGGTTAGTGTTTTGCTTGGTTAGTGTTCTGCTTGGTTAGTGTTTTGCTTGGTTAGTGTTCTGCTTGGTTAGTGTTTTGCTTGGTTAGTGTGCTAGTTGGTTAGTGTTATGGTTGACTGGCTGACTATTGTAGTGGTTGACTAATGGGCGTGTTAATTTTTTGACTAATGGGCTGGTTAACTGGTTGACTAATGTAGTGGTTGACTGGCTGGATAGTATGCCGGTTAACTAGTATGCTGGTTGACTGATTGGCTAGTATGATGGTTGATTAGTTGGCTAGCTGATTG